AAACGAAATATTGTGATTTTTTTAACTTGTTTATTATTCTGTAAAAATATTAACACAATTAAGCATTATTTACAAAAAATCTTTTGTCTATAAATCAAATATAGAATATAAAAAAACAATGCTATTTTTCTGAAAAAAGTACCAAGAAAACAAAAAATTCGTACACTTCTCAAAATTTCTCTTCTGAAAACTCAAAAAATACGCCAAAAAATATTCATAAACCCGGAAAAATCAAAAAAAATTTAATTAAGTTAAAATGTTATCTTGTAATTGGTTATTTTTTTTTAATTCTGTAAAAATATCAACACAAATCTGATTATTCCAAAGCATTCACATTTCACATTAAAGTCAAAGGTCCCAAAAATCTTTCGGAGACTTTTATCCATCATAATTACATTTTTACATAAAAATGTATGTTAAAAAATCCGAAAACAAGAAACTTAGAACCTGAAAAATTACACAAAATCTTTAACAATGTGTTCAAGGGGCTTTTTCAATTTTCGTTTGATCCATCATGAATAAACTTTCTGCAATAATTTCGTCGTAATTAAACAAACCGTCTTAATCGACAACATGTAGGTAACAGCTTTCTCCACTTTAGTAATTAATAATTCAACTTCCTTTGAAAGTCGAAACTGCATAACATCAAAGAATACCCCATTTCAATGCGAAACCTACAAATTCTCCACAAATTCATCTCTTACATAAGAAATTGAATCGAATTTGTCAAAAAAACATTTTCTTTGCAGGCTCGTGGCGGCCTATAGGCCACATGCGTCCATCCTGAAAAAAGTCCTTAAGACTTTTCTAAGTCTCTTAAACCCCTAGAAGTACATTTGGTTAAATTTTAAGGATCTTTTTAATTTTTTCGATTTTTTTTTAGTCTGTTTTATATATTTTGTTTTATCGCAATTTTGCAAAAAGATATGCGCTTGTAACCAAAAATTAGAAAACGTCCTAAAACGCTTAAAAAAACAATAAAAAATTACCTTTATAATTATTTTGTGATTTTTTAAATGTAGTTTAGAGAAATCTTGCATCAAAAACTGAATTTGTAGCTCAAACATGTGCATAAACGCTAAAAAAAGACAAAATTATAGAATTTTTTACTAAATTAAATATAAATTTTTCGGCTTATTAAAGCAAAATTTGGTAAAAYAAAGTGCGTTTTTGGTTTAAAAACATGCTAAAACACTATAAAAAGGCAAAAAACGTTAATTTTAAACAATTTTTAATAAAACTGCAAGTGTCACTTATTGTACAAAAAAAACTGAATTTTTAACTCAAAAATGTGCCTAAATGCTGAAAAAAGAAAAAATTAAAGTATTTTGGACCAAATTAAACATGCATTTTTCGGTTTGTTTAAGCAAAAGTTGATTTAAAAACATGCTAAAGCACTCCAAAAAGGCAAAAAAAGGTTAGTTTTAAACTAATTTTTTGATTTTTGGTCCAGTTTGAGCTGTTAACTCGAAAACATTTTTTCCTATTATTATTTAAAAAAGTGAATTTCTTTTCAAGAAAACGTATAGTTTAGAGACTTTTCAGTTTGTTATGAACACATTTTGTACAAAAACGCAATAAACCGAGCAAAACATTTCAAAATAGCGTCAATTTTGAATTAATTTGGTAATTTTTTACAAAAAAACTGAGTTTAGCTTAATAATATGCTTAAACACTCGAAAAAAATAAAAATAACATCATGCTTTACTTAATGTGGTAATCCTTAGGCTTGTTCTAGCAAAATTTTATAAAAATGAGAGCTAAAAACGTGCTAAAACGCTTGAAAAAAGCAAAAATAATGCCATTTTCTTAATAATTTTCAGATTTTAGTTTCTACAGAATTAAGAAAAAGAAATTAAGAAAATATTTATA